TGTGTGCATTTCACGCGAGACTTGTTTACGACCTGTCTCATTGCGCTGCGTACGGAGGTAACGGGGGTGGGGTGTTTTTGTTGAAAAATGATAAAACGATAGAATCAATACATGAAAATTTCTGGACCTGTTTTGAAGAAGTCGCTACAGATAATATGCAAAATGATGACGATGTGGAGAAAAGTTCTATTGCACATGAGATTGATTTTTATTTGAAAACTGTTCGCCTATACCGGACGGCAGATACTTTCAAATGGTGGTCGGCAAACGCAACGGAGTATCCAAACCTGTCAAAATTTGCTAAGATTTATGTATCGTCTCCTGGCAGTAGTGTTTGTAGTGAGAGGCTATTTTCAGAAGCAGGAATTGTGTATGAGGTAAAGCGCAATCGTTTGTTACCAACCAATGCTGAAAAAATTGTTTTCATTCATCGCACCCTGCCGCTGATTAATTAAGTAGGCATTAAAGCAATAATTTGTGATAAAAACACATGATACATTTTGAATAACATGAGCTTTTTTTATTATTTGATGTTCGGCACTCCGCCGAAAAGTCATAGTATTCGGCACTCGGTCGAATCGTAGTATTCGGCCGCATACTGAATATTAAAAAGTAGCCGAATATTCTGGGCATCTCTAGTAATTAGGCTGACAACACCGAATGTGGGAATAGTCGATTTAAAATAAAAATAATTCAACTTTACTTTATTATTACTCAATTATACTGCACTATTTCCTCTACGGATTTATAAAAAAATACTTCATTATAAAACAACTACTTTCCTCGAGTGATTCCTAAACCATTAATCATATTTACAGAGAATTATTGGTCACATCCGTTTAGTGTAGTGTGTCATAATTACATAGGAATAAATAAAAATAATACGATTTATTTATTACTAGTGACCTGATTCACTTTGCAAAACTTGAGGAATTTCTTTTTAGTTGTCGCACAAGGATAGAGACGTTACGTGGTGGAAGTTTCTAACCTAATTCTTTCCTTAACCTCTTCCAATTACTTTACTGGCTGGAAATCATCTGTATAATCTCGTACCCTTATTTTAAAAAAAAGTTCTTTTATTACATCGCTACCAGCAATTAACAGTTAACACTAACTTAAAAATTGCAACTTTTCACCAGAGCCTTTAAAAAGGGCTTTCAAACATATATTAGTTATTATTTTACTACAACTAATTTGTTATGATTATAAAATATATTATTATATTTTTTTGTATTATTGTAATAATTCCAGTTAGCATAATTGCAGGTGTCGAACAAATTAAGTATGTGTGAAATTTTATAACTCTCCTGTTTGAAAAAAAATGTATGGATATATGTAATATGTAAATACTTTATGGTACATTGTTGACTACAGCACAACAATCTATACATTTTTGTTCGAATATTGCCTTCTGTGCAACGGAACAAGATCTGCCAATGTGTAGCTTGCTGTGATGCCGTCTGTAAAGCAAAACAAATTGCAAATTTTAACAAAGAATTTATATTTAAAACGTTAGTGTACTAAGAGCTTCTCCTGTGAAGGGATTTCTTCCACCTAACCATTTAAAGTTATCGACTAATTTTATACCTCTCTTCTGAAAATTGGTCATTTTGTAGATGTAGCCTTATTACATCAAGGATGAGTCTTACGGGTCGTTCTATAAAAGCTTTATTTATTTCCTTTGTCTTGTTTGTAATAGTTGTATCCTTGCAATAGATGTGTTTATGGCAACTGTAATTTCTTTCTTGACAGAAGATTCGCTATCAGAGAATGAGATAACCAGATCAAACTACCAATTTGTATATCGCTCAGGCTGGCACGCTCGCCACCCTAAAAGTGAACAAACTCTCAAGGCACCAGTCCCTTTTGTGGTTATTCACCATTCATACCATCCGAAGGCCTGCTACGATAAAGACGATTGCCGCAATGCGATGAAGTCGATGCAAGATTTCCATATGGATGTTAGAGGATGGGCCGATATTGGATATAAGTAAGTCGTATTTTATTACTGATGAGTGCCGTACCCAAGATCGAAATACATTTGGTCGATTAACGTGAGGTCGAATGAATGTCAGATTATTCTGTTACTTATCGAATAAACGATTGACCCAATCAAGTTTAATCGAAAAAACTTTGTGCTTTTGTGTTATTGATCGAAAACAATATTTGTTGCATCGACTTTTATCCTGAGCCCTTCCGCTCTTAGACCTTTTGCCCCAGGCCATTCCGCTTTTAGGCCTTTACTTTTTCCCCGAACCCGAAATTTCAAATTTCAGAGAGAGACGCAGTTAAAATGTTAAGATGTATAATCACAAGTGGTTTTGTTATACCAAGGTTACGAATATATATAAGCTATAGTGTTGGTGTTTTTCAGTTTCGGCATTGGCAGCGACGGCGTAGTCTACGAGGGAAGAGGCTGGAACGTACTAGGTGCGCACGCCTTGCATTTCAACACTGTCAGCATAGGCATTTGCCTCATCGGGGATTGGATAGGTATGGACTATGAATTTGGCAATTTAAAAATTATTTGTAATTCCATAGACTCTTTGAAGCCGCTCAAAGTACACCACTGAACAATTCTCGAAAGTCCTGAGAGGAGATCCGTTTCCATTGAGACGTAATAGGAACGACAAATGTATTCTAGCAATCTATAAAAAAAATGCTTTACTGTCCATCTGTATTCCTAGCGCAAACCTGCGGACGGGAAGGTAAAGGACATTAAATTTATCAGTTCATACTTAACAATTGAAATAAGGTATAAATTTCAATGCTCTGAAACCCACCTCGGACCATCGCAGAGCATTTCAATAACACGCTAGAGGGTGCCGGTATCGAATCCGAATCCACCAGTATGTGCCGGAATCCAACGATATACGCCGAAATCGACAGGTGGTGTATGTGAGTCTGCGTGAATACGCTGGGGATTTTTCGAGTACGTAGTCGCTTGTAGAAGAAATTCAAATCCGAGTGACGGGTAGCAAGTTGGCGGATGTCACGGTTACGATAACGGTATAGTTTTATACCCATATTTTTGTTCTATCTATAAACGGGAACTTGGCATCTCAAGATATAAATAAATACACTTTAAACACTTTCCATCCATTAACTCAAATTATCACATTTTTTACAGAGACTGTCCCACCTTCTGTTCAACTCCAAAGCGCCAAAGCACTCATAGCGCATGGAGTTAAAAAAGGCCACATTATGCCAAAATATAAGCTGGTCGGACATCGTCAGGTCCGAGACACAGAATGCCCTGGAGAAGCATTGTACAAGGTCATCCAAAAGTGGTCTCATTACGCTCCTTTCCCTAGAACTTATAGGGACTTGAAGAATGTGACTGAAATACCTGCGTATATTAGGGAATCATTAGAAGATTAGGTTTCTCTACTATATGAAGCAAACATTTTACATTAAGTAAAAAAAGGTGAATAGGTTATATAAACAGCAAACAGCTCTTACAAATAGTACCACATTGAAACGTCACAATAATAAATACGCAATGAGTGTAAGTTATGTCCAAAACTCATAAAACTTGACATCATTTGTATTTTTTTTATCGATTGTCTCTGACGTTCCTGACATTCCATTCGGCGACTTTAGAGTGCAATGCGAGACTGAGCTTACGAATAGGACTCAGGGTCGTATTCCAAAACTATACTCAATGCTCAAGTCAGGAGTTGAGCAGACTTGAGTATGATTTCAAGCACTGGAAATACGACCCTAACGGCAAGGACTTGAGTATGATTTTCAGTGCTCACTGCAATACTCAAGTCCTGTGCACAAGCGACATCCGTAGTGGGTCCGAGTTTTCGAGATTTGTATTGTCTCGGATTAGGGACGAATACGTATGGAATGCAATGCACAAATGCGCGCTTGTCGCGTTTCAAACGCTTATGACATATTCACCTTTTTTACTTATAAATCTTTGGATTCTAAGCTTGTACCTTCGTACAACCTCTAGTGTGAAATTTTTTGTATTTTAAGCCACGCTTAGTGATCCCGAATAAGGGGTATATTTGAAAAAAAAAAAATTACATTACATACACACAACACACACACACACACACACACACACACACACACACACACACACACA